CAACGCATTCATTCATTCACTGGACGAGCCACTCTCCCAACAATGAATCCTTCAACATTCATCACGCCCAGCCATTCGTTCAACAGGTGTCGTTTCAAGAGACGATGATGCAACGCATTCATTCATTCACTGGACGAGCCACTCTCCCAACAATGAATCCTTCAACATTCATCACGTCCAGCCATTCGTTCAACAGGTGTCGTTTCAAGAGACGATGATGCAACGCATTCATTCATTCACTGGACGAGCCACTCTCCCAACAATGAATCCTTCAACATTCATCACGCCCAGCCATTCGTTCAACAGGTGTCGTTTCAAGAGACGATGATGCAACGCATTCATTCATTCATTGGGCGAGCCACTCTCCCAACAATGAATCCTTCAACATTCATCACGCCCAGCCATTCGTTCAACAGGTATCCTTTCAATAGCTGATCACTCGACATTTACAACAAAAGCACACCCCGCTCAACGCACCCGTTAATAACACCGTGGTCATGAATAGAAACAAATGTAAAGATATCAAACAGGCGACGTTTCGGCCACTGGTTCCTTCTTCACAGCGTATCGAGGCGAGAGTGGATGAGATATCGAGACAGCAGTTTCATACCCTGTACAATACAAGGCCATAGCCATGGAGTCAACATTGGAGGGGGACCAAATCTTTCAGGGGGTCTGGGGGTCCCCCCCCCCTCCCCAGAAACAAAATCTCAATTTGAAAACGAATTTTCTGCCATTTCCTGCCTAAAATATTTAAATTCACTAACACATAAGATGGACTTTTTATACAATAATGTCTAATAGTGGTTTGTATTACATTGCTCTGTTTTTTTATATTAATTTTACCTTTTATTGTTTCATTGTATGTAATGGCAGAGATTAGGGATTAATAAAGTACAACCATAACCGCAATCATATAAACATAAATCTATTTTATAGCAATATATTGGGGGGGGGGAGGGACATTTTGAGCAAATTTGAACGTGTCCCCCCCCCCCAATATATGTTATAATTATGGCCTTGGTACAATATATCAACCACAAAATTCCCACCCCCGCATACAGTACGCCCATTCATGCGCTTATTTAATAGTTGCCCTTTAGGCGACACAGCCGCCCAGCATGCGGCAATTTATTCAACAGGTAATTCATTTTTTCGAGAGAGCAATCGAATTATTATGCTTGCAAATAGCCCATCACTCCGCGCGCAATGCGTTCAATCATGCAAGAGTCTTTGATGCAGCGGGGCAACGCCATGTCTTCGGTTTTATCAGGACGCTTTTGATTGAAGTGCAATTATTCTCAAGCTCCACGTTCTCCGGGTGCAGTCTCCCAACTCCTAGTGTCCACTCCCATCTCTCTCGCCTCTTTATTTTGCTCTGAAGAAGGGTCAAAGTGCCGAAACGTCGCCTATCATATGCGTTTCCCACTTTTAAGGTCCACGTTGTCATTCGCAAATCGCGTTCGGAGTCGTTTTTATTTGAACGTTCAGCGATCCGCCCCCATTCATTCCAGCCCTTTCACGATTTAATAATTAAAACGTTCAATTCATTGAAGTCACTCGATAGCTGTCCTTTCGACTAACGGGGCCCGCTCAACGTGCAGCAGAGTACCCATCTGGGGTTCGAGCCACCGCGAAGCTGGCCGTGATCCACCCAGAAACGCATCCACCGCAACAGACCCACGGCAGCGGTAGATGCGGATACCTCGATGCGCGGATGGAAGATTTAAAAAGAAATAAACTCTCTCCAGCATAATATAGGTGTTAGATCGCGTAAATATAATAAATGTGTCGGTAAAACCCTCCACCACCCGACACAGCCCAACTGCTAAGGGTCGTCACGTAAACAGAACGTGGCCAATTCGTCACTAGTACAGCACCGCCGGTTGTGTGTCGGAGAACCAAGCCACAACAATCTTGAGTACGACGTTTCGCCAGTAATTACAACCAGCTTCATCAGGCGACAGCCACATTTGTGGAGAAGTCCGCCTGTTTCGTTCCTTATATATAGAGGCGTAGATGACCACGCTTCTGCGCTTTTGCACAATGTGTGGAGAGGGGTATTACTGAGGCAACGTACATGATGCATGTGCATTACGGGAGCCCAGCAGTAGTATTAGTAGCGGTGGCGGTGTGGCGACTATCGTCGTGTAGGACAGACCGTACCAGCAGTGCAACGTGGAACGACGCAATGATCCAGATCCACTAAGCCACTGGTTCTTAACCTGTAACCTGCAACCCCCCCCCACCACCAACACCTTTGGTTCTCAGAAAGGGCAACTCGTACCCCCTGCCCACAGCTGCACAAATGTCGATGCAGACATCACAGCGACGAAACACTGCTCCCCGCTACGACTGACAGCGGCTGTCTGGGCCCTGCCATCTACATCGGCAGCGGTACAGAGGAAGTGGCACACACGCAGAGAGAGAGAGATACACACACACACAGAAACACACAGAGAGAGACACACACAGAGAGAGGCACACACAGAGACACACACACACAGACACACACAGAGGCACAGAGATAGAGAGAGAGAGACACACAGAGACACAGAGAGAGAGACACACACACACACAGAGAGAGAGAGAGACGCACACACAGAGACGCACACACAGAGACACACACACACACAGAGACGCACACACAGAGACACACAGAGAGAGAGAGACGCACACACACAGAGGACACACACACACACACACAGACACACACACAGAGAGACACACACACAGAGACAGAGAGAGAGACGCACACACACAGAGGCACACAGAGAGAGACACACACAGAGACAGAGAGAGAGAGACGCACACACACACACAGAGAAACGCACACACAGAGAGACGCACACACAGAGACACACAGAGAGAGACACACACACAGAGACACACACAGAGAGAGAGAGACGCACATACAGAGGACACACACATACACACACACAGAGAGACACACACACAGAGACGCACACACAGAGACACACACACAGAGACACACACACAGAGACACAGAGAGAGAGAGAGAGAGACGCACACACACAGAGGCACACAGAGAGAGAGACACACACAGACATAGAGAGAGACATACACACAGAGAGAGAGACGCACACAGAGAGACACACAGAGAGACACACATACATATACACAGAGAGAGAGAGAGAGACGCACACACAGAGACACACAGAGAGAGAGACACGCACACAGAGAGACACACAGAGAGAGATACACACAGAAACACAGAGAGAGTGAGAGACACACAGAGAGAGACGCACACACACAGAGACAGAGAGTCGAGGAGCAGAGCGAGGCGTGCAACTCCATGGATGGTGGAGGAGCAGGAATAACAACAGCTGTGGCACAGGTGTAGGTGTAGTCACAGGTGTCGGTGTAGTCACAGGTGTAGTCACAGGTGTAGTCACAGGTGTAGGTGTAGTCACAGGTGTAGTCACAGGTGTAGGTGTAGTCACTGGTGTAGTCACATATGTAGTCATAGGTGTAGGTGTAGTCACAGGTGTAGTCACAGGTGTAGTCACAGGTGTCGGTGTAGTCACAGGTGTAGTCACAGGTATAGGTGTAGTCACAGGTGTAGTCACAGGTGTAGGTGTAGTCACAGGTGTAGTCACAGATGTAGTCACAGGTGTCGGTGTAGTCACAGGTGTAGTCACAGGTATAGGTGTAGTCACAGGTGTAGTCACAGGTGTAGGTGCAGTCGCAGGTGTAGGTGTAATCACAGGTGTAGTCACAGGTGTAGGTGTAGTCATAGGTGTAGGTGTACTCACAGGTGTAGTCACAGGTGTAGGTGTAGTCACAGATGTAGTCACAGGTGTAGTCACAGGTGTAAATGTACTCACAGGTGTAGGTGTAGTCACAGGTGTAGTCACAGGTGTAGTCACAGGTGAAGGTGTACTCACAGGTGTAAGTGTAGTCACAGGTGTAGTCACAGGTGTAAGTCTAGTCACAGGTGTAGTCACAGGTGTAAGTGTAGTTACAGGTGTAGTCACAGGTGTAGGTGTATTCACAGGTGTAAGTGTAGTCACAGGTGTAGTCACAGGTGTAGTCACAGGTGTAGGTGTAGTCACAGGTCTAGTCACAGGTGTAGTCACATGTGTAAATGTAGTCACAGGTGTAAGTGTAGTCACAGGTGTAGTCACAGGTGTAGGTATAGTCACAGGTGTAGTCACAGGTGTAGGTGTAGTCACAGGTGTAGTCACAGGTGTAAGTTTAGTCACAGGTGTAGGTGTAGTCACAGGTGTAGGTGTAGTCACAGGTGTAAGTGTAGTCACTGGTGTAGATGTAGTCACAGGTGTAGGTGTACTCACAGGTGTAGGTGTAGTCACAGGTGTAGTTACAGGTGTAGGTGTAGTCACAGGTGTAAGTGTAGTCACAGGTGTAAGTGTAGTCACAGGTGTAGTCACAGGTGTAGTCACTGGTGTAGGTGTGGTCACAGGTGTAAGTGTAGTCACAGGTGTAGGTGTACTCACAGGTGTAAGTGTAGTCACAGGTGTAGTCACAGGTGTAGTCACTGGTGTAGGTGTGGTCACAGGTGTAAGTGTAGTCACAGGTGTAGGTGTACTCACAGGTGTAAGTGTAGTCACAGGTGTAGGTGTAGTCACAGGTGTAGGTGTGGTCACAGGTGTAAGTGTAGTCACAGGTGTAGGTGTAGTCACTGGTGTAGGTGTGGTCACAGGTGTAAGTGTAGTCACAGGTGTAAGTGTAGTCACAGGTGTAGGTGTACTCACAGGTGTAAGTGTAGTCACAGGTGTAGGTGTAGTCACAGGTGTAAGTGTAGTCACAGGTGTAGGTGTACTCACAGGTGTAAGTGTAGTCACATGTGTAGGTGTAGTCACAGGTGTAGTCACAGGTGTAAGTGTAGTCACAGGTGTAGGTGTACTCACAGGTGTAAGTGTAGTCACATGTGTAGGTGTAGTCACAGGTGTAAGTGTAGTCACAGGTGTAGTCACAGGTGTATGTGTAGTCACAGGTGTAGGTGTACTCATACTCACGGGTGCCATCGAATCTTGTGGCGATCGTATCAAGGAAAGTGTTCTGTGGAGCCAACAGCCCCTTCATTACAGGCATGATGATGCTGATGATGATGGTGGTTCGCCTACTCCTCACGCGCACGCACGAGAGAGGCGGTGGTGGTCGCGAGCCGTAACCATCACCCCTTCGCCTCCGCCACTGCCACCACAAAGACAAAGATCCCCCGTGTAGCCTGCGACGGACCGTTTGGGCAAGTGCTGCGAGCGAGTCGCGCCCGATGAAGGTCGGAACGGCGCGCGAGGTGCTTGGGCGCGTGGCCAGCACCACCGCCCGGCCGCCTTTGTCTCCCCGGTGGCGATGTTCACGCACCGCGCATGGTACTCGTTTTCTTTCTGGAAGCAGTCGACCCCGCGTTTCAAACAATCGCCAGCGAGCTGGAATCGAACTCGGCCCTCCGGCTTCGCGGCGCCTTGGTTCGCCTCCCCCCTTCACCACCACCACCACCACCACGGCCACCGCGAACCAAGCACCACCAGCCACTCCAACTCGGCGGCTCTCTCTCTCTGCCTTCGCGTCTCTCCTCCTCTCTCTGCTCTCTCCTCTCTCTCTCTCCTCTCACGCCTCCGAGGCGCAGATTCCGAGGCGTTAATTAGACGGCAGTCCTCTCGCGCCGCACTCTGCTCGCAGCCTCCATGGACACCGCGCAGGCAGAGGGTGCTTTCGTCTGTCTATGAATATGTCGTTGTGCGTTATGTATGGGGTTGGTCGTGGTGGTGGTGGTGGGTGGGGAGCGGTGGCGCAGCGGTTAGCGCGCTGTGTAGCTCCCCCCGATACATCGATTCGGACCTCGAATGAGCAGCTGGTGCTGTGCGTAAAATGATCGCCACTGGGGAGACAAAGGCGGCCGGGCGCGGTGCCGGCCACCCACTCCCTCGTGCGCCGTGTCGGCCTTCATAGGTGCTACTCGCTAACAGTACTTGCCCTAACACTCTGGGTAAGGTTATACGGGGGATTTTTGTCTTTGTGCGTGAGTGTAGCGGTCAGCGCTGCGCTGCGCTACGAACCCGGCGACGCGAGTTCGATTCCCGCTCACGGCACCTCCCCCCCCCCCGCCGCCGCCGCTCCACCCACCCCCTCCCTCCGTGGCGCTCGCAAGCAGCACTTGCCCCAGCAGCCTGTGCAGGCTACACGGGGCGTGGGCGGAGTGGGTGGGGTGAACCTTTGTCTTTGCGCTATAAATCACGCTTCGACGTTGTCCGCGGCGCACCGCAGAAGTGCGATCTGCAGAGAGTCACGAGGGGCGGCTTGCGGCGCTTCATCGCATCGCTATAGAACGGGACAGGTGGTGTACATCGTGGGAGTGGAGCGGTGGAGCAGTGGTTAGCGCGGTGCGCGCCTCCCCATCCCCACCCCGAACCTTGCCGCTCACGGCCGACACCAGAGGTGGTTATCTGAGCCCAGTCCTGGGCCACCCCTTAGGTCTACTCGGCCGCAACGATGAGCGTCTGTCGCGGTGTGTAAAACATCTGTGCCCGGGGAGACAAAGGCGGCGCTGCGCGGTGCCCGCTTTAACACGAGATCGCTAACAGCGCTTGCCCCACGAAGCTGTGTAGGCTACGCGGAGTGTTCGGGCGTGTTGTTTGCGTGTTGGCTGGTACGAGTGTACCTGTGTGTGGGGTGGGGTGAGTGGTTTGCGCGCTGCGCTACGAACCCAGCGACCCGAGTTCGATTCCCCGCTCACGGCCACCAAACGCCAGCGAGTGACTCAGCCTCGAGTAAAGTTTCCTGGGGGCGATGCTTGTCACCCCATACCTGTCAACCCCCTTATCAGTGCCCTACCTTATCACAGACCAAGTCAGACCTCACTGGTCACCCCGTGCTCCTTATAAATCTCACCGTTCATCCTACAAAGTCACTATACACTACTCTACTATACACTACATTACTATACACTACACTATACACTACACTATTACATACCTATCAACCCCCTTATCAGTGCCCTACTTTATTACAGACCCAATTCAGACCTCACTGGTCACCCCGTGCTCCTTATAAATCTCAACGTTCATCCTACAAAGTCCCATCACAAGGGAGACACACAAACAAATAGCAACAAAAAAAAACACGGTTTTCGCCCGTAGTGAAACGGCTGTACGTCGCGTGGACCTGCAAACTCAATGCCGCTGTACAAGAATGCGGGGTACACCGCGATGGGTTGCCAGGGCATGCCACCCACTCACCTCGGGTGCCGTTCATACTTTCCATCGGTGCTACTGCACAGGCGTGTGCGCACGTTCTTGAATGACCGGATTACCTGCGCGTCTCTCTGCGTGTTCGCGTGCTGACTTCTCTATCGACGACTGAGTGTTTGCACGTGGGCAGAGACACCGGGGCAGCGGGAGAAAAACCCGCGCGCGCGAGGGGGAAACCCTCGATCCCGCGCAGACGGAAAGGGTGGAGATTCGTCCACGCGTCTGCTGTGCTGCCTTGTCCTGGCGAGCCGCGGTTACGCTACCCGATCTACGTCTACGGGAAGGAACTTTAGTTAAAACTAAACTCTTTTTTTGTCTTATCGGGAAAGGTCCACTTAGGGGCCGTCCATAAATGACGTTACACACCTGGAGGGGGCGGGGGGGGGTCAGATATTTGTGACGATGTGTGACGATGGGGGGGGGGGGGGGGTTTGAGAAACGTGACGTCACATCAAAATGCGCAAATTTAAATAAGTATATAATTAAATTTCGATTTTAAGCTTTCGTGACTGCAGGGGTTCACATTTTTGGTTCTAAGTGACTCTACCGAAAGAACCAAAAATATAGAATTGCTATAACATCGTTATAACAAACACTCCTACAGCATCAGAGTGCAGCGCCACGTTAAAATACGCACTACAATGACAATAGTTTAAAGCTATTTGAAGCATGTTTTTATTTTCAAAATGGAAAATAAAAAGGACCACTTAGCTAGCAGCTTCTTACTCAGAAGCGCACCTGGCCTGGCCATCGCAAATGATCGCCCAACGGACCGGTGGCTTATCAAGTTCTGCCCCCACCCCACCCCACCCCACCCCCTCCTCATCGGCACCCACACCCTCAGTGTGTGCCGTGATCCACCAACCCTCGCTGTTGCCCGGCTGAGTCCATGAGTGACGAGTGTTTTTACTGCTCCTGTTGCGTGCATCAGCGCCCCTCGGAACCCCTTGCCACGCTACGTTGTTGTTGCTATTGTTGTCGCTGCTGCTGTTGTTGTTGTTGCTGCTGTTGTTGTTCGAGGGGTTCTCTCCAGAGCTCCGTCAAGTGTGGGTGGGAGGCCCTTTCGCCGGCAGTGGCCTGAGCGCGACATTGCAGGGGCTGCGCCTTGACATTTGTATCCAACAACAACAAACGAGACATAGTGTGTGTGTGTGTCAGTCGTAGCAATGCTCTCGAGCGAGTTGTGTTTTCATCGTATGCAAAGTCAGGCCCCCTCCCCCACCCCTGGGGACGAGAACCAATGCATTCACAACATCTATTTGTACCGGAGGAATCCGATGAGCTACGAAGTTCTCTTTCGCACACGTCCAGAAGATCGATGACCTCTGTGCAGCCTCTGACCTTGGACCTAGGCACTATCATGTATGTGTGTACGTGTGTTGAACTTCTATCGTGCCGTACGTAGCCAGCCGTGCTAATCGGAGGTGCGGAGGAAGGGCAACAAACTATGGGTCTCTGTGAGGGTCTATGGGACTCTGTGTGAGTCTTTGGGTCTCTGTGAGAGTCTGTGGGTCTCTGTGTGAGTCTATGAGTCTCTGTGTGAGTCTATGGGTCTCTGTGTGAGTCTATGGGTCTCTGTGTGAGTCTGTGGGTCTCTGTGTGAGTCTACGGGTCTCTGTGTGAGTCTATGAGTCTCTGTGTGAGTTTACAGGTCTCTGTGTGAGTCTATGGGTCTCTGTGTGAGTCTATGGGTCTCTGTGTAAGTCTATGAGTCTATGTGAGGGTCTATGGGTCTCTGTGTGAGTCTATGGGTCTCTGTGTGAGTCTGTGGGTCTCTGTGTGAGTCTACTAGTCTCTGTGTGAGTCTATGAGTCTCTGTGTGAGTCTACGGGTCTCTGTGTGAGTCTACGGGCCTCTGCGTGAGTCTATAGGTCTCTGTTTCAGTCTATGTGTCTCTATGCGAGTCTACGGGTCTCTGTGTGAGTCTATGGGTCTCTGTTTCAGTCTATGTGTCTCTGTGCGAGTCTATGGGTCTCTGTGTGAGTCTATGTATCTCTGTGTGAGTCTATGGGTCTCTGTGTGAGTCTGCAGGTCTTTGTGTAAGTCTGTGGGTCACTGTGCGAATCTATGTGTCTCTGTGTGAGTCTATGGGTCTCTGAGTGAGTCTATGGGTCTCTGTGTGAGTCTACGGGTCTCTGTGTGAGTCTATGGGTCTCTGTGTGAGTCTACGGGTCTCTGTGTGAGTCGATGGGTCTCTGTGCGAGTCTACGTGTCTCTGTGTGAGTGTATGGGTCTCTGTGCGAGTCTGAGCATGTACGCATGTTGCACTTCTTTCGCACCGTACGTAGCCAACCGTGCTAAATCGGAGGTGCGCGGGAAGGACATCAAAGGATTGGTGCCAATGTGGAGGTCTTGCTGCTGGCCACGGCGGGAGGGCTTCAGCAGAGAGAGAGAGAGAGGAGGAGGCTTCGTGTCGTGTCGCTGTTCCTTTTCTCTCTGTGTTGGAAGGAAGCGCAGCCTGCAGTGGGTTTTTCGCATGGTCCCGTTGACCTCGTCCAGTGGTTCTTCACCTTCACTGCAGCTTTGCACCCTTTGGCTCCCAATCGGTCGGAAAAATTACAATGCTCATAAATACATAGGGCTTAATGTCAATAGATAATGTGAATGCAATGTTAATAAAATGCGTGTTCATAAAATGTATAATATTAATAAAATGCATAATGTTAAGAGAATGTATAACGCTAACAAATTAATGTTAATAAAGTGATAATAAAATGTATAATGTTAATAGAATGTATAACGCTAACAAAATAATGTTAATAAAATGGTAATAAAATGTATAATGTTAATAGAATGTATAATGCTAACAAAAAAATGTTAATAAAGTGGTAATAAAATGTATAATGTTAATAGAATGTATAATGCTAACAAAATAATGTTAATAAAGTGATAATAAAATATATAATGTTAATAGAATGTATAATGCTAACAAAATAATGTTAATAAAGTGATAATAACATGTATAATGTTAATAGAATGTATAATGCTAACACAATAATGTTAATAAAGTGGTAATAAAATGTATATTGTTAATAGAATGTATAATGCTAACAAAATAATGTTAATAAAGTGATAATAAAATGTATAATGTTAATAGAATGTACAATGCTAACAAAATAATGTTAATACAGTGATAATAACATGTATAATGTTAATATAATGTATAATGCTAACAAAATAATGTTAATAAAGTGGTAATAACATGTATAATGTTAATAGAATGTATAATGATAACAAAATAATGTTAATAAAGTGGTAATAAAATGTATAATGTTAATAGAATATATAATGCTAACAAAATAATGTTGATAAAGTGGTAATAAAATATTTAATGTTAATAGAATGTATAATGCTAAC